TCTGATTCTGTGTTGGTGCTCAATCAGCACATATGAAGCTATCTTTTATTAAAGACATATATGTACACAAGACGACCAAATAACTATCTACAATAATTGATTTTAACTAAAGGATCAAATGGAACATGTTTTTTTTTTTAAATATAAGTTATAAAAGTAAAAACATTACCATAGCAAAAGAGAAATACCTGGAAACCCCAAAAGAGAGAGTATATATATCGTGTAACGATGCTATGTTTTGTACTTAAGAGAACAGCTTGTTCATAAATTCCATAGTCAAAACCAGCATCAATATCAAAGCAATTAGTAGAAGAATTATCATTGCGCCAATCGTCCCAATGATGTGTTGATTCAAACCTGGTATCATAACCCCCGGTTCCACAGTCTATAAACTCCTTACAAAATGAGACATTTGACATGGAACAGGCGTCTTGTAGACATTTATTTACCCTCTACACAGAAGAAAATAGAGTTAGGTTTAACTGTTTAAGGCAGAGTTACAAGGAAAAGAAACATTCAACCATAGATCACCTTTTGGATAGCACTTTATACAAATAAAACAAGCTAACTAGAAGTATTGATTCAAGAAAGAAAACGGGTAGCGTAAAAAAAAAGACATTAAAATCATATGCATTCAATAAAAATTTTGGTCACTGCATAAAATGATACCATGCTCTTCTAACCTCAAATCAAGATCTGTTCCATTGGTTAAGGACATGCATACGGATACTAATTCAAGATGACCATTTGGTAACAGCATCACTTACAAACTGACGTTCGCTTAAATGGACTTCACCAACAGTCTAACATAAGCAATGAGCGACTAGGTGACAACCATATCCTAAAATTTGAGAATGTTCAAATGATGAAAAAGTTGAATTAAATGTCAGAATTTGCAAGCAAAAATGAAAATGAAAGAAAAAAATGGAGAAAAAATAAAAAACAGAAGAGGCTAGTTTTTCTATGGATGGCTACTAGAGATCCCCCACCACTCTCCCTATACAGAACTGCCACTCCAAACTCCCAATATTTCCAATTTTGCTCTTGTCTCTTTGTCTGCACACATGGTCTATTTTAATATCTTCGCTGCTTACTATTCATCTAAATCACCACCCTAGCTGAGCAAATATACAAATTTCTCCACGATCAATTCTAGTTTATCTCTGTTTTCTATTATATGATTATGCATGCATTTTGCAATGAATTATGCTTAATATGCACATAGCACTTACTAGCCACCTTGTTATGTTCAAAGCCCTTCCTTACCTGTAAACCAAAAAGGTACCAGCATGAACCTACTACGTGCCCAGCCAACACAAACATAAGAAGATTAATGACAAAATTTGCCCATGCAGACTCAAATATGAAGCCACTTGCTGACTGCCCAGCAAGCAAGGGTAAAAATCTGACAATTCTTGGTACATATTGGAGAAGAACGGTAGCACGTAATAGACTTTTTGCAAAGTTCGCTGCTGATGATCCAAAAGCAGTTGGTATGACAGCCAATATCATGACCTTCACCAAGACAAAAGGCAAAAAGAAATTTTATAGATCAAAACTAAGAGATAGTCAATATAATTATCTACTAAATATTTATTCTTCCTTTTGGTTCCTTTATAAACAATGTCCACGCCAAAAGCATTAATCAATATTTAACTTCAACAAAAATAAAGCATTAAGTTGATATCAACTTGACATAAACAGCAAAAATAATAAGAATCAATCAGCTCAGTTGTTGATATAAAATTTAATAGCAAAAACCCACAAAAGAGAATCACATGAATAAAAATAATGTCGTGCACATGTGATGTTGGAGATGCGCCAATTAGAAATAAGCTTCGCATTTTCAATTGAAAAAAGTAATTGACTGAGGACAGTTTAATTGTCTGCAATAAAGAGAAGAATTAGTGGCCACCACACATTAGTGCATGACCTTTGGTAAGTAGTTGAGTACATGCACCCAAGGAGTACTATACTGACATCAAAATCTCAAATGAGTTGCATCCTAAACAGCAGTAACTTTGTGGCAAGTTGGATCAGGCTCAGGTCAGATAATTGGGTTAAGATTGTTCCCCACCCCACTCCAATCTCCAAAAGAAAAGTATGAAGACACACACAGCACAAAAAATCAAGTGTCCCCTTCATCTTAAAGAAATTACTCCCTCCACGTGTCATTATGATGTTGTCTTCCATCCGTAAACCAGCATGCTGTTTTACAAATGATTTTTTTTTTGTGAAACAATTGGCCCAAGACCTTAAGTTTAAACTCTTGGTGAAGTGGTCAGCTTACATGGACACGGGCAGAAATAATCTCTGTTGTTTTCTACTATATGCAAAATTAAGAGCAAAATGACAGAAGTATCATATAACGAATACAACAAACTGAAGTATCCGGTTATATTTGTAAAACACAATACTTCATATCATATTGTAACAGGCCTTCCATGAGCATGCGAGAATCTGCAACAATGTTCTGCAATCAATTTCATTTCAAAAAGTTGCATAACCCCTTTATTAGTAGCTTTCTGGAAATTTTTCAAAAAAAGGAGGATCTATATGGAGGTGATCATCACTGATTTAGCATTTTTTAAAACAGAACTTAAGTTATATGGTAAAAACCATATAAAAAAGGTAACCCAGCTTAGCATAATTCATCCATTAGATAATCTGCCAACCATTTATTCACATACCTTATGGTGAAGGGACAATAAATGAAACACAGATGAATTTGGAACTGCAAACAAAAGATGCCTCTATTCACAAATCACAACTTATCAGCTCTACTACTGGTTGACATGAGAATTTATTGAAAGAAAGGAATACAATGTACACAAAGAAAATACAAACAATTCAAATTGTAATATTACTTTAAAATGATGGGTTGAGATTAGATGTTTAAATAGATCAATACATCTTTTTCGAACATACTATCACCACCATCCACAAAGCCATATGGACATCAAAATACAAACAATTTGAACTGTCAGATTAATTCAAAGGTCTTACATCATGATAATGGGCTTGAGAGTAGTTGTTTAAATGAATCGATTTATCTTTCTTTTCATGGAAGATAAGTTGAGTCTTGGAGGTATATGAAATATAATAGAACAAAAAGACATATAGAAAGCTTAAGCTTCAGAGAAGACATGAGCTAGCAATTTCATATTAGTTTCAGAAGGAATCTTCGTGATCATTTTCTCCAATCCAAAGAAACATCATTAAGACAAGGCTAGAACAAAGCAGTAATCCAAAAACAGGAAACATAATCTGAGCAGCAGGGGCAAACTGCACATGGTTTGTGTTGACTAGCCCCTGCAGCTAGCTAGAGGAAGGCACAAGAAGAAATTGTTACCTGAGGAAGTGGCAGAACAACAAATAGATCAAGTAGAAAATAACCACGAAGATAATGAACAGCAATTTTCTTTGGCTGATCAACTAAAGCACCTGCGCCGACAACTCTAGATTCAGGAGCCACATAAGCCAGCCTGAACTGCAACAGATGGATCAATTACATTGATCATGTAAGTGATATTTTACAAATTAAAATAAATCAAAACTTAAACCACATTTTATCTAATAAAGCAAACATCTTTTCCAAGTTTTTAAGTCAATTGAAACCAGCATAAAGTTCTGATGGACTTATCATTGCATAGAAGAAACTAACATGTTCAAGGATTACAGACTATCAATGATTGGAAGAGTAGGTGGAACAAATAACTGATCATAAAGAGTCAAATACTTTTAGACAAATATATTAAATAAAATCACTTATATAAAACATATAAAAATTATTAAATTGAAATCAACATAAAACCCATTATTTAATCATGATATTTCTAAGTTTCTACAACAAAAGGTCCAGTTTCAGGTTGTAAGAGTAGAGTAGGAAAATATTCCTTGCAGAATCTAGTTAATGAAAATTCTTTAAGAGTCTAGCATTTCAAAAGGCATAATTGCAACCCATTATAAAGTGCCTTAAAATTTTAGATCTGAACAGAAGATCATAAAGTATGATGTTATGGAACTGTAACAAACCTAATGAGACCTCTAGGTAAGTGCAAAACGTAGCACTATAATACAGCTCAAGACCATTCCAACGTAATTTTCTTGAAGTTCAATTCTTTCTTGAATGAGAATTCTTCTTTTGGTTTTATCACCCAACCAAGATAACCATATCCTGAGTAATGTTTAATCATTCAAAAACTAACTACTGACATTAAAGGCATAATAAAATGTCATATATGGTGAACAAGTGATCCCTTCCAACGTGAAGTGTATATATGATATAACAGCATCTTACCTGAAGAAATATGTGCAGTAAGTAAATAAAATCAGTCACACTTCTCACAACTGCAATTGATGTTGCCAAGGACCAGTTCAACACTATGCATTTGTTATACTGCTCAAGAAAAATGAGAACTGTCAAGTTGTTTGCTATAGAAACAAACGAAAATTCTTGTACCAATATTTCATCTTAAACTAATAAACTCCACGATCAGAAAACAACACAAGGCTCAAGTTAAATATTCAGTATTCTAATCTGTGTTAACGATTACAGATAATAAAAAGAGATGATTAAAAGAACACAAGAAGATGTTTTCATAATATCTACAATGAACTTTGTAAATTCTAAAAAAGTCATCCAATAAAAGAAAACTACGGAATTAAAAATTTATCACTAAAACGAAGACAAGCTTATTCCTACTATCAAAATTATAAATGACATTCAGTATGAACTTATGCCACAAGAATCACACCAAGTTTAGTGGCATTTATACAATCATCTCCGATAGAAGCGTAGTAACTTTTCCACAGGGTACAGGTCAATAGGTAGAGAAATTAATAGCATGTTATGTATGTCCCCACAAGTACAGCTTAATAGATAGTGATTCCTGAAATTAGTAGGCATAGAAAGGAATGCTCCCAATAAATTAGTAGCATTTGAAGCAATGCTCCTCACAAGGGCCACAAAAGCACACGAATACATGGTTCTTTGTGTATTGCTATGATAGATAGCATACTTTTAGCTGCTTCCTCAACAATTTACAGTTACCAAAAATACCCCTACGTCTATGTATTTAATAATGAAAATTGATTAATGAATGCGTTACACACCTTCTAAGACCGCTCAGCTATCTCCAAAGGTCTAAACTTAATGCCAAAATATTTACTGTAAGAACCTTATGCATTATGGACTTAATATTTTATAAAATCAAATATCTTTTACGCAGTTGTACTAGTGAGGTAAATGATAAGGAGTCAGAAAATGAAGAAGTGATAATTGCAACTTTTGAACCTTGAATACCAATCAAGTGTCATATGGATGTTATTATATGATGCTGCTAGCATATCCAATAAATATGTTGAGTTATTTAGATAGTGATTAGTCAATGTTGTAAGGACCTATTTGTAAGAGTGCACTTATATAAAAGGGGTACCTCTCTATGAGAAACTAACCCTAATTCTTACCCAAAAGTCTACATGGTATCAGAGCCATGTGACGGCGTCACCCGCGTCTCTCGCCTCTAATCCTTCTCGTGAGCTAGGCGTGATCGGGATCTCAAGACGACGGAGAACCGCTGTTGCTGATCTCAAGACGACGAAGACGACGAAAGCTGACGAAGCCCGACGATCCGCCGCTGAGCCGACCGGTTCCCGACGAGATCCGCTGTCGCTGACTCAAGACGACGAAGAAACCCCCCTCGGATCCGACGAGATCCGACAAAGATCTGACGAAAACAAGGATCGGACTTGTCTCCGGCGTCCGATCTCCCCTACCGCCGCCTCCCTCCGCCTCATCGCCGCGATCGCATCCTCAGGGTCACTCTCGTATCGCGTTCTTGGGTCGCCTCATCTGCGTTTTTTTGGTTTGGTTGATTCGATACTTGGAGAGAGAGGTTGGGATCAAGGTCAAAGTGATGCGACCAGTCTCCGTCGTTTGTTTCTCTACCATTTTTTTGATGCTTCCTGCATATTTATCCGACCAGCTAAGTTTGGCACGTGTTCCTTGAGAAGAGATTGGGCCTGTTGATTTTCTTTTAAGACTGGTTTGAGTTGAAGATTAAGTGATATTTTTTCAGAGTGGAGACTGGAGATATTTACTTGTAGTTGAGTTGGGTTTGACCTTGTTTCTATGATGGGTTTGAGATAAGGGTTGTCAACTGTGAAAATGGGAACACCTGTGACTAGTCAGGAATTGAAGGAGATCCTGGAGGGGGTAGCCAGGGTATTTCAGACCAAACTAGAGGAGAATTCCAGTAGGTCGGTTGTGACCACATCGGAGTCGACACAAGTAATGGAGAGGGTAAAGTTGTTGCCGAATGACATCAAGCTTGAGGGGACAAGAAACTATCTGAGTTGGTCTCGGAGGGCATTGCTGAACCTTCGAATCACAGGACTTGAAAAGTATGTGAAGGGGGAATGCATTGAGCCGGAGAATAAGACGAGTGTTGAGTGGAACACATGGAGTAATACTAATTCTCTGGTGGTTTCTTGGTTGTTGACTTCTGTGTCTTCAACCATAGCTGGAATGGTGGAGTCTATCTCAAGTGCAGCTGATGTCTGAAGGACATTGGAGGGGATGTACTCTGGAGCTGGGAGTGTGATGATGATGATGGAAGTGGAGGAGAAGATTGATGCTACCACACAAGGGGAGAAGACAATCCATCAGTATGCAGCAGAGCTACGTCACTTATGGGCGGATTTGGATCACTATGATCCATTATCGCTACAAAACCAGGCAGATGTTCTTTTGGGGAGACAATATCTTGAGCGCAGGCGTGTGGCTCGTTTTCTTAAGGGTCTGAATCCAAAGTTTGAGGGGAGGAGGGCAGCAATGTGCCATCTGTCATCTCTTCCCTCTTTGGATGAGGCTATTGCATCGATGGAACAAGAGGAGATCAGACAGAAGGTGATGATAGGTGAGGCCTCACCTGCTGTCCGCTCGGCATTGGTGGTTCCGGATACTCACATCAGAGATGATAGAGAGTGCTATAATTGTGGAAAGAAAGGACATCTCAGCTACAATTGCCCTCAACCCCGTAACACTGGTGGCAACCGAGGAGGCAGAGGACAGAGAGGTGGCCGTGCAGGTCGAGGAGGCAGGGGACGTGGAGGCCGAGGAGTTGCTCACCTAGCTGTGGCAGATGAGTCTCAGGCTACTATTGGGATGACTGGAGCTAAAATAACAGAGCTGGAGGAACTACGTCTGTTCAAGCTTCAGGCTGAGAGTTCGAAGGACAAGGGACAAGTCACTCAGAATCTGGATACAACTACATGCTTTGGTAACTTTATTGATTATGCTCATGCGAACAAAGGTACACAGGTTCTGGCACTTGCATCCACTAAAACTCATGTTGATTGGATCATAGACTCAGGTGCATCTAGGCATGTCACGGGAACATCTAGTGAGTTTGCATTATATTATCCTAGTAAGCATATGCATCCCGAGACAGTTCAGACTGCTGATGGGACATCTCAACCCATCAGAGGTACTGGCTCAGTCCATTGCACTTCATCTCTTACCTTGTCATCCGTATTGCATGTTCCTTCGTTTCCAGTTAACTTACTCTCAGTTAGCTCTCTCATTGATCAATTAAATTGCACCGGGTTGTTTGATCGGGATTTGTGTGTCTTTCAGGAGAAGGAAACTGGGAGGAGGATTGGGACTGGCATCAAGCGTGATGGTCTTTGGTACTTGGACAGGGAGACTGCAATGATTGCTGCTGCTGTTAGCGGAGGGCCAGAGGCAGAAGCGAGCTTGAACATTACCGGTTAGGGCATTTATCTTTTGAGAGTTTGAATAGATTAGAACCTGAGTTAATGAAGAAAGTGGATAGAAAAGAGTTATTTTGTAATGCATGTGAACTTGGAAAACATACTCGTTCTACTTATAGAATGATTGGTGTTCGAAGTTGTGAACCATTTGCACTTGTCCATTCTGATGTTTGGGGACCATGTCCTACTACCTCTATTAGTGGTTTTAGATGGTTTGTTACTTTTATTGATTGCTATTCACGTAAGGTCTGGATATACATGATGAAACAGAAATCTGAGGTTTACAAATGTTTTCAAGACTTCTCGGCCTATGTGAAGACACAGTTTGGAGTGCAGGTGAAGATTCTCCGAACAGATAATGAGACTGAGTATGTCAACAAGGAGTTTGCCGCTTTCATCTCTAGTCAGGGAATCATTCATCAAACCACATGTCCAGACACCCCTGCTCAGAATGGGATAGCTGAACGTAAGAACAGGCATCTACTGGAAGTGGCCCGCTCATTGATGTTGACAATGAATGTGCCTAAGTTTTTATGGAGTGAGGCTGTCATGACATCAGCTTATTTGATCAACAGGATGCCATCAAGAGTGTTAGGGATGAAGACACCATGTGAGATGCTCTTGGGCTCGAATGTTTTTGTTGTTCCACCAAGAGTATTTGGATGCACATGTTATGTGAGGGATCACAGAATGATGGTGAGTAAACTGGATCCGCAAGCAGTTAAATGTATTTTTGTTGGCTACTCATCAAGTCAAAAAGGATATAAGTGTTGGTGTCCCACTGAAAGAAGGTTGTTTGTCAGTATGGATGTGACTTTTCGGGAGTTTGAACCTTTTTATGGGGAGAAGACGGAGTTGAGTTCCTTGTTTGGAGATGACTCTACTGATGCTAGTAGAGAGGGGGGGAATGAGAATGAAAATGAGAATGACGTCGTGGTTGGGTTGATTCCATGTCCTCTTGAGTTACCGAGCAGTGATGGTACATCGCCGAGTAATGGTGGCGACTCAGGAGGTGACAGTCAAGGTCAGGGGGAGCTGAGAGTATACACGAGGAGACAGAAACAACAGCATGAGCCGCCTCCTGTGCCTATGCCAGTGCCCACAAATGTTGATGGCTCAAGTCCCTCCTCTCCAGTGACTTCTCCACCTGAGTCGATAGGTAACGAGTTCTTCCCTGATACTTCTAATACTCTCGTCTTGCCCCGCAGAACCCCCAGAGTTAATGCTGGAAAACCTCCAGCTAAGTTTGGTAGTTAGGATACTAACATTGCAAATTACATTTCATATGCATCCATTCCACCTGCATATAAGTCATTCATTGCATCATTACATTCAGTGCCTGTACCTAACAACTGGCAGGTCGCTAAGCAAGACCCTAAGTGGTTGAGTGCCATGCAAGAGGAACTTTGGGCCTTGAAGAAGAATGATACATGAGAGCTGGTACATTTGCCAGCCGGGAAGCGTGCTGTCGGATGTAAGTGGGTGTATACGGTTAAGCAAACTTCAGAGGGCAAGATCGACAGATACAAAGCCAGATTGGTTGCTAAAGGCTACAGTCAAACGTATGGCATTGACTATGACGAGACATTTGCTCCAGTAGCAAAGATGAGCATTGTTAGAGTGTTGGTGTCATGTGCTGCCAACTTCAATTGGCCACTACATCAGCTAGATGTCAAGAATGCCTTTTTGCATGGAGATCTTCAAGAGGAGGTGTATATGGAGATTCCACCAGGCTTCGCTACTTCTCAAATAGCTGGGAAGGTGTGCAAGTTGAAGAAGTCTTTGTATGGGTTAAAACAGTCTCCGATGGCATGGTTTGACAGATTCAGGTTGGCGGTCTGCGGTATGGGGTACAAGCAGTGTAATGGGGATCATACTGTGTTTTACAGGCACTCCAAAACTCGTATCACTATTCTGACAGTCTATGTTGATGATATTGTAATCACTGGAGATGATGTTGAAGAAATCCTAAGATTGAAGAAAAGATTAGGAGAGGAATTTGAAGTTAAAGATCTGGGGCAGTTGAAATACTTTCTCGGAATTAAAATTGCAAGGTCGCGAAAGGGTATAGTGCTTTCTCAGCGGAAGTATGTTCTGGATCTTCTCTCAGAGACAGGGATGTTGGGGTGCAGAGTTGCATCTACTCCTATCGAGCAGAATCAAGTAAAGAGCAATATCAAAGATTGGTTGGACGACTTATATATCTATGCCATACGAGACCTGATATTACTCATGCCGTGAGTGTGGTGAGTAGATATATGCATGATCCCAGAGAGCAGCATATGGAAGCAGTTCGCAGAATTCTTAGATATATTAAGGGAAGCCCAGGAAAGGGGTTGTGGTTCAGAAGTTTTGGACATCTGAGAATTGAAGGCTACTGTGATGCTGATTGGGCAGGCTGTATGGATGATCGTAGGTCCACTACAGACTACTGTGTATTTGTTGGAGGCAATCTCGTATCTTGGTGTAGCAAGAAGCAAGATATGGTGGCTAGGTCTACAGCTGAGGCGGAGTACAGGGCTATGGCAGTTGGTCTGTGCGAGTTGATGTGGGTCAAAAACATATTATCTGAGCTGCGCTTGTTTAGAAGAGACTCCTTACAACTTTGGTGTGACAACAAATCGGCGATTAATATTGCAAACAATCCAGTTCAGCATGATCGCACCAAACATGTGGAGATCGATCGGTTCTTTATCAAGGAGCAACTGAATAGAGGAGTTCTGACTTTGAACTATGTGAAATCAGAAGAGCAGTTAGCTGATTGTTTAACAAAAGGATTAGGTTCTAGAGAGTATGATATCTTTTGTAACAAGATGGGGATGATAGATATCTATCGTCCATCTTGAGGGGGAGTGTTGAGTTATTTAGATAGTGATTAGTCAATGTTGTAAGGACCTATTTGTAAAAGTGCACTTATATAAAAGGGGTACCTCTCTATGAGAAACTAACCCTAATTCTTACCCAAAAGTCTACAAAATAAAATAGGATACAAATGTAAGCTGTTGTGCAATCATACTAAGTGACCATTTAGAGATAACTCCCCAATGACTTCCTAACTGGATGATGAAATATAAAATAAAATAGGAAAGATGATAATCGGTTTAAGGTTCACAAATGCAAGCCAATGCATGGATGATGTAAAAGGAAGTCTGACCACTACGTTGACTTCAACAACTCACCCCTCATGGGGACTAGCCAGGAGGCCAACCATCCCAGCACTTTCTCTACCTAGAGGCCTAGCTGTGAATCTTTGAGTTTATAAACCATCATACAGAGACCATATTCTATGTGGATACAAGTCACATGACATACTCCCCAACATTAACTGTCTAGTGTCCTTGCAGCTCGCAAGGCAAACACCAGTAGGCAATGCCGAAATCTAGAGTGGTCTCCAGGGTCTAGGGGCAGCCCCCCACAATGCCCTTATATGATATGAGCAATTGGTGGCATTTAGGTTCCTGCATCTTGCTGGCCAATGATAGTACTGCTATTTCTGAAGCCTGCTTAACCACAGGGTGCTTATCAGACTTGCAGCTTGCTCCTTCACCAATGCCACCTGTGTTTGATCGTTGGGTTTCACAGTTATCTAGAGAACAGACCACTAAGTTTTTGGACCTGGTGACTATCTAAGAAAGACTAGCTATGACCATTGTTCTGAGTTGTGTAGAACACAAGAAGAAAGACATTCCATAACATCATCAAGCCACTTTGGAAAAGAGATGTAATGAAGTGAATTTAATCATTTAACAATTCACGTCAACTGGATGATTTGATATTTGAAAGTGATGTATTCTTCACTAGATCGTATTTAAAAAGAACAACAATCTCAAGGAGCTTCATGACAAGAAAAAATAAAGATAATGTAAGAGCATACTATGCAATGAGAAATAATATTAAAGTAAGATGAATTAAATAGGATCAAGTCGTATTGTTTAAAAAGATTTGAGAAAGGAGAAAGCATACCTTTTGTACAGAAAATAAGTAGAAAAATAATGGATCTATGAAAATTGCCACCAAGCAAGAAATAACAAAGAATTTGTTCCACTGCTGAACAACCTTGGTATGTGGATTCATTATAGGAAAAGATGAATTAAAAAATGCAATGAACTTCCTTTTCCATCCTTCAGAGTCCCCATAAAGAATGTTACGAAGCTGCAAAAAGTATGGCAAGGAACATTTCAAACATGAGCAAAAATATAAGTCAAAACTTCAGACCTTCCAATAATATCCTAAAAGGAAGTAGGACTGGTCAGGGATATAATTATTAAATATGAAACAGTAAAAAAGAATGTTTTACACAGAATCATTGTCGATAAGCAATCATGCACGGGAAATGAATAAGTGAGAAGATCTAGCCAGAGCTGCAGCAAGAAATTCCAAATAAAAACTGAAAACCCAGTCAATGAAGTTAAAAAATAAAATAAATAAAGCATTTACATACTAGAAAATGACCCTCAAATTTAATATGCATATGTATGACAGCAGTCACAAGGCATTTTACGCATTTTCCATATGTCAGCTGAGGAAAAATATCAATAATATGATTAACCCAATAACGATAGAGTACTTCCCTCATCACAAGATAAAAGCATCAGATAGCTTGTCAGATTCATATGGTACAAATAACTGTAACACGATAATGAAAGTAAGGAAGCACCTTAGCATCTAGATGAAGTGAACCTTTGTAGGTACTCCGCTTGGTTTTATAGGTTGCAGGACAAGTTGTGCAATCAGGGTTATTGCATAACCCCAGTGGCCCTGACTTCAATAAATGCTCATGTTTTCCTACACTGCCACTGTCCTTCCAGCCACTCTCACCCATTTCTTCTGGCACGATCACAAATGGTTTACTACGTTGTTTTCCAAGATGAGGTCCCGCACCCTCAGGTTTCTGATCAATAAATAGAGGACCACTCATAGGTATAAAACGGGAGGATCTTTCACCGCGCAGAGGACCGGTATGGGATATAAAAGCATCATCACTTTCATAAGATGAACTCACTGGTGACGACATTGATGCACTCCTAGCAGTATATTTTTTTGATTTAACATAATTGTCTGAAAGCATCGGGATCTTATCTGAGTCAGCCATCTCACAAAATAACCTGCAAGAGCAAATGCGTTAACTATTGGAAAGAAAGAAAAAACTCCTTTCATTCATTTAATCTATCCATGATTTATCTAAACCAGCTTCAAACATATGAAAGTCAGAAATTATGCTTACAAAATTTTCACGGAACAACCAAAATCATAGTCCCTGGATATCTGTATACGTTAAATAAACATAGGAAGGGTAATTATAAACCATACCCTGGCCCAAGCATGCTTACCTACTGAGTTTCCACAGAGGTTCCTCTTTGAGCTTTCTAGCTACAAACAAAACAAAACAAACTCTTGTGCTAATTGCAGCTATTTCTACCAAAGGTTTCCTAGCAAATAACCAACGAATGCAATGTGGGGACTTGACATACTTCTCATTCCATCGCCTCTCTAACAAAAACTAAAAATAAATAAATATATAAAAGCTACCAGGCTAAATGGCACTTAAATACCTTATGTTTCACCACATTTACGCTAAAATATCTTAAGTTGTAAAAAGTAGCAGTTTGATACCCTTAGTTGCAAAAAAAATAGCACTTTGATATGCTAAATTGTAAAAAGAACTGGCACTTAAATAGCCTACTATTTCATCACATTTACACTTAAATGTTCTAAGTTGTAAAAAGTAGCACTTTAATACCCTCAGTTGTAAGAAAGTGGCACTTTAGTACCCTAAGTTGTAAGAAAGTAGCACTTTAATAACTTCTGCAAATTTTCAGAAAATATTCCTAGGAATATTTCCATGACAATTTTGTACAACTTAGGATATTAAAATGCTACAACTTAGGGTACTCAAATGTAGAGGCCGGTGGTGAAACAATAGGGGTGTTTAAGTGCCATTTAGCCAAACTGCTACTTCACAAATGAGCCACATTGTTCATATAAAGTTTAGTTCTACCATCAGGTTTGTGATACAAGGTGCTAAGTTGAGAATGTATGTCGTACAACTTCAGCACGCTAGCCTTCAAAAACAGTTTTTTTTTGTGCGTGCGTGCGTGCGCGTGCCTAATTTAACTTTTGAATCTCCATCCAAGCATAAGGAACATCGCATAAAGCTAATTTCCATCAAGAAATATTCCTCTCATCTCCCTACTACCAATATCTCCGTAATCTAGAAGCACTGAGCATGAAAAAAAAAAGCAAAGATACAATTTCATACTAACTTAATTAGCAAAGTTCAAATATCATTAATAAGATTTCAATAAGAAAAATTATAACAAACATCAAATCAACATTGACCCGAAAAAAAAAACCTAGACGATTCAGCTCCCCCTACGAGCAAGTTGAACAGCAGACTACAACAAAAAAGATGATGCCATCATTACTAATTATTTCTCATAAAATCGCAATAAACGAAAATCACCGAATAAGGAAAGAAAGAAAACGTACCGCGAACTTCTTGGCGAGGATGAGAGGTTTCACATGGCCTAGGGCTTCAGGCCGGAGGGGGAGTTTTTAAGGGGCGCGGTAAGTTCACCGCTCCAGGGGCAGGCGGAGGACGGGACTCGCGAAAAAAGGAGGCTTTCGTCGGTCGTCGGAGTGAGGAGGGCGGTGACCGCACCGCGAGGGAAGAAGAAGAAGAAGAATGAGAATGTGACGGAGTCCAAAGTCCGTTTGTTGGACAAAAAGCGAAGAATAGTATGCTGAAAGCGGCAGTTTTTTCCACGGTATGGTAGACTCGATGATGACTTTCTTTTGATATTTATTATTAGTACCTTCCATCTTTTAGCGTTTTACCAATTAGTTCCTCAGACAATTGAAATTGCCACTAGGTCCCCAAATTTTTACGATCGTCTCAAATTAGCCCCTCTCCGATCGTCGCGCCGGATTTAATTTGTAATGGTGTCGCCGCTCCTAATGTCGCTTGCCCTGCATATTATTTTCGTTAGTGATGATCAGTTTATAAAGAAGAATGATATTTTGAAGAGAGTATTGCTCGTCGCTTATTTTTTATTACAAAATACCAAATATACCTCTTTATGTTTAGGTTACATTAAAACACGTATGTGTTTCCTTTAACCTGTTGTAAAATTTGGGGCTTAGCCATTTATTGAGAAAGAGAACACAATTTAGTAAGGTAAAATTGTAATTAACCTTGTCGGGTTAATAACTAAACCAATCAGAGTACATATATCGAACGAAAACTGGCGGGCTATTTGAGATAGCTCATAAGAATTAGAGGAGCATGTAGCAATTTCAATGATTTGAGCGACTAATCCCAAAATATGAAAGTTCGGTGTGTTTGGGAGTTTCCTAAGGGAATAGAAGGAAAGGTAAACAAAGGGAAGGGAAGGAAAGGGAAGGGAAGAAAATTGTAATATGTTGTTTGGGAGTTGAGTAAGGTGAATGAAGGTGAAAGGAAGTAAATATATGTAAATTTACATAAATAATTTTATACTAATAACACATCAGTCCTTTTATTTGACAACCTATAGTGTAGGTCGCCTAATCAAATAAGCGAACCTCATTAAATAGCTCATCTCAACTCGACTCGACCAAATTAAGAGCGAGTCGACTCCCAAAGTGCGCCTCGGGCCGAGTCAAAAGGCATCATGAATCAGCCAAATAATGACTTGAATTTTGTGTCAAATTTAAACTTATAGATGAATTCCACCAACTGATAAACTACGCTCATAACAACCCAAGTGGACCAAGTCACCCACACTTTCGGTGAATCTCACCCAAATGCCTTTAGCAGCGAACTTCACCCAAACATCTTCAGTAATGAACTTTGCCCAAACATCTTTGGTGAGCTTTGCCTAATGGTGTGTTTGGGAGTTTACTAAGGGAAGGGAAGGAAAGGTAAACAACGGGAAGGGAAGAGAAAGGAAGGGAAGGGAATTGTAATATGTTGTTTGGGAGTTGAGTAAGGTGAATGAAGGTGAAAGGAAGTAAATATATGTAAATTTACATAAATAATTTTATACTAATAACACATCAGTCCTTTTATTTGTTTTGATGGGGGTAAGAATGTCATTACACCCCTTTACCCTCCTTTACCCTCCTCTACCGCCCAAATCGGAGGGGAAAGAAAACTAAACAATTGTACCCTCTGTTCCCCTTCCTTCCTCCTTTCTATCCTCCTTAAAAAAACTCTCAAACAAGGTGAAAGCTGCATTTCTCTTCCCCTCCCCCTCTCTACCCTCCATCCAAACAGGGCATAAGGGACCAATACTGAAAAACTCTTCAAATTTCGCTTTTTTTTTTTTGACCTGTTCTTTTACACACTCAGGCGGGACCCAAAGGTACGAGGGAGTTATCATTGCGTTTGGTGGTGAAATTTTCGGGTTGAAATAACTGGTGGGGCCCTTCTTCGAAGGATAGAGCGATTAAAACGATGAGAGACCCGTGAAGAGTGGATATTATCGCTTCTGCATTATTTTGTGAGCATGAGAGACGCACGTGAAATGATTACTCGCATAATACTTGGAGGAACACTATTATGTTATGCAAATAAATCATTTCACGTGAAATGATTGCTTGCATGATTGGAAATCAAGAGGGTAGTGTTATGCAAATAGTAAATTTGGTGGACTATTGAATGGAAGTGAAAAAAAAAGTTTGCTCTTCACGAAAATTAATTTGGTTTTGTACCCGCTTGGGTTCTGGCAGAGTGTTGAATTTGATTTCTTCTTGTAGATTCCAGGTGTCTTTTAGCCACCTATGCACTTGAAATATCTTTGGGAAAAGTTTTTTTCAGAAATTTACAAACTAACATGAAGCAAAGTGTGTTTGTATCATGAGTGATCAAGAGGAATAAAAAAAGAGTGATAAAATGAGAAGCTAGAAGATCCGAGGCAATCATGCATGTTGGATGCTGGTGTGCTTTTTATTCAAACACTGGTTTCTTTAATTAATCTTTTCATGGTTTAATTGCACTTTGGTGATTTAAAGATTCGCTCATATCTACTTTTGATACCCCAAAGTTTTTCCTTACAATTTTTCAGAAGGAAAATGATTTAAGGACCCAAAATATGGGACCAAAGGAGGGGACAGGTGATGTGTCCCCTCCCTATTGCATAATGAGTTGGCATGGCCAACTTATTATGCAATAGGGAGGGGACACATCACTTGTCCCCTCATTTGGTCCTATATTTTGGGTTCCCGTAGCAGCACTCTTTTCAGAAATTTGAGTTTAAGCCCCCCACATATCATTGATTTATAAGAGTTTAATGAAACAAGTGCATGTATATAAATAGAATGTCTCCGGATGTACGCAAAGTCACGGGAATAAAAATAGTCGTTTCTACAAGAGACTATATATGAAAAGAATCTAGTCTCAAAACAAATGATGCTGAAACCGAAACTAGGGGTGAGCAAATGGTGGGGCCGGGCGATTTTAAACATTTTTTTATCAACAGAACCGAACCGAAATAGACATAAACTGAACCGAACCGTACCAAATTATTTCGGTTCGCTTCGGTCGGTTCATTCGGTTGTTATAGGCCCTATTCTCAGCGGGCAAATATGAAGGTTGACTTTGATCTTCATCACAATTGGAAGAAGGCGAAGGTGAAGGAAAACGAAGGAAGAAGAAGAAGAGGGGAGAGAGAGATTTGCGTTTTGAAATGACAACTGCTTTTGAGTCCCGTGAGAGGAAAGAGCAGGTTTGGTTTTGGTTTGGCTTTTTGCAAGAGAAAAGAACAAATAGATATGATCTCTCTCTCTATTATTTATGCAAGAAATCTAGCATTAGAGAATGACTCAAAAACTATTACATGGATACATGTTGAGTGAGCCTGCAGGGAAGGAAGAATGAGAGGGCCGTTGGGTACGCTATAAGTGGGTGATCTTTACATCAATCGGGTCAGTGCACACACCGATTGGAAATATTTGTACCTAACCCGGACCGAAGTATCTACTAAAACCAAACCGCACTGCGCAAAATTGGGTGGTTCCGTCGATTTATTCGGTTCAAACCCAACCTTGCACAGCCCTGTCAATCAAACTAATATTTAGTTGAACAAATAATACAAACAATCCAGTACAAGAAACAATAAGCAAACAACAATCATTCCCTAGCTCTGTTTGGCTTACGGATTGCATTTAGATACATGTAAACAATTTTAAGAACTCCACACCGATCAAAAAAAACTTGTTTGATTGTAGTAGATATTAAAGAGTAATCGCACGTGATAAAATCCAATAAAATTTTATTTGGTTGTACATAGATTTTGTTGAGAATACGTGATCGAAATCCCAAATTCAGATAAAAATAAGCATAATTTTAAGAAATTACATTTGATATTTTCCTTAATAAAAAAACACCCACAAGGGGACCCACCCCTAAAATCCCGATTCGGGTCCGAATTCGGGTATTTGAAATTTCTGAACCCGATATTAGAAGAAATTTTAACACGCAGGTTACGTTCGATCTCATAACCTCAGCTCGTGATCCGCCACTCTCCTTCGAGCTCTCCGGGACGATGCCTAGGTTAAATTTCTCAAGCCTCAAGGTTTCTTTGATCCCTTCAATTTTCATCTGTTTTCTCCTAATTATCTTTTTCTCGTATTTTTTGCAGATATTATTGCGACTACTGCGACACCTATTTGACTCATGACTCCGTAGGTTTCCCCTCTTTTGGATGCTGTAATTGTTCTTTTTTCAGTTTCTTTAATTCTATTGTTTGGAGTAGGTAATGATTTGATTTAGGTATTTGAGTCTCAGTTTGTTGGAGTGTTGGGGGCTAGGGTTTTTGACATTTTGCCCTATTATTTACGTGCTGATTCTTGAAGCATAGTATTCTCATGCTTTATGCGTTTAGATTCATAGCCATGTGCACCGAGACAGCGTATTGGGGGTTGATACCGAGTGCAAATTTCAAATGCTCGAGCTAAATGATCTCGTGGCTTTAGGTATCTCGTGCGTTCATGAGATGGGGTTATAGAACGGGCGGGATTTTCCTAGCCAACATCCTAGAATCCTTGTTTTTATACTTGTTTTTTTTTTAGCTTGTACCATCAGCTCATTTCTCTAATGTAATTAAGTGCAAGAGTCCATCCTGAGGTTAATTGTTGCGGATGATGTGCTTGAAAAGTTGAGAACTGTCTGAGCAAAGGGCGTTAGGTTATGAAGAGATGAATGAAATTTAAAGATACGATGAGGGTAATTCAACACGGTAACAAGAAAAAAAAAATAATGGCCTACTAGATCGTTGATCTGATGGAATGGAACCTAGTCCTCTCGTAAAGGGTTAAATCTCTCTATTTGTAGACTATGGATAAATCTCTAAAAAGGAACACCTCGTTATATGTAAAGTTTGCGTATCCTAAAAAAGCAGCCTGTTGTTCATTTTATGTCTTAATGATTTGACCTGCTACTTTTTCTACGATGCTTGTGTTGATATCCTATGATTATTACGGTTTCCACTTTCCATTAGTGCAACTTTCTTCATTTCCCTTTGCACTAAAACATAGTCCTTGATATGTATGAGTATATATCTCAATGCATAATAAGAAGCATGAAAGGAACACACAAGATGTGTCCAAGAAGTTTTTGGAATTAGGAAGCATACTAAAAAATTGAGAACACATTTTGAAAATTTGTTCATATTCTGTATCATTCATTCTTACCGTTTGAATGATGAAATGTGGTTTAGTTTTTGGATTAAATTTTTTTGCCTAGTGTTCGATGTAATTCCTTATAGAAAATTGTCTTGTTATCTTTTTTAAACTTTCTTCTAAACCTTGTATTGGTCTTGGAGAATTTGAAGATCAGATTCTCGTTGCATGAAGTTCAACTGCATGAATAATAAGATAGGTATGTCTGCTTAGGTTTACGAGGAGCCTCCTTCTTGTTCACTAGTCCCTTTTGGCGAGGATTTCATACCAGTTTAAGGATTGATGTCAGATTGACATAGGGTAATGTAAAGTGACTATAGTCAGGGTCTTCATGGAGCCATACGGCTGAGTACATTTTTAATGGGAGAAGGCATTGATTGATTCCTTTCACTTTTAAGTGTCAAAACTTATGCAACAGGATTCTGCTCAATTGTTAAGAATGACCATGTGCAAACAATAACAGGCTCTTTTATGTTCATTATGACGACATGCTGCTAACTGCAAATTTTATTTCTGCAGCCTTCCGTCAGGAAACAGCACAATGCCGGCTACAAGCATAAGGTCTTTGCTTTGACACATTTCTGTCATCTAATCCTCCCCATCTTCTTAGTTTACTGATTTTTTTTCCTTCACTGTAGGCAAATGTTCGTACCTACTATCAGCAGTTTGAGGAGCAACAGACTCAGAGTCTAATAGATCAAAAAATCAAGGAGCACCTAGGGCAGGCTGCAGTTCAGTATCAAGTGGGTGCACCTTTTAACCAGTTTCTTCAGGCAAACCCTCAGAGACCTCGTCTTCCAGTCCCTATAATGCCGATGGGAGTACCCGGTCAGATGCCAATGGGCCCTCCGTTTGTTCCGGGAATTAGACCCCCTGTTCTGCCTGTCCCTGGTAGTGCCCAAGGTAGGCTCTAGTTTTTCTGTGGTCCATTTTGCTTCACTGTGAATTTTTCTTATTTCGATATTATTTCTCTGAGGATAACAGGTGACTCTTGTCTTGTGTGCTTCCTGTGTCTTATGACTGAGCGAGCGAGCTTGACCATGATTTGCATATTATTCTGAAATTCCGATTAATATTAGTAGAAAATCGACAATGTTCTGATGTATACTTACATTAATTATATAGTAAATGGAGATGGGTATAAATATGTTAATATTTTTTGTCTGTGCCAACCCCAAAATTTTGGGATAAATGTTTTGTTGTTGCTGCGCAAGGATAAATGTTTTGTATCAAACATCTCATATATTTGTTATCATTACATGTTTGCTTGAAGCTTATTTGCTGGAGATTTCATATCACCTGTTATTATAAGTGCCAAATTGTGAGAGCTCCCATCAGCAAATTAAAATGTTAATCTTTTCGTCAGGTTATGGAGCTGCTTCAACCGCTTCACCGTCGATGGGTCCACCAGGTTCAACTTCCATGCCTATGCAGATGAACAATCTTCCTAGGCCACCTATGATGAATCCTCCGGTTCCTGGAGTTACAACTGCACCAAGCTCTAACGGCGCTGCTAATCTTTCTAATCCTATGACATATCAAGCCG